ACAGCATGTGCATTTGGGAAACAGGGAAATATAACCCAGCCTGGCTCCAGCATGGGTGGGGTAGAGAGGACAAACAGGAGATGGGGCTGGGAAAGAAGGTTGGGGCTGGAGTAGGGATGACTGAAACCATGTGATGGTCAGTAGGGGAAAGCTCTGGGGGGTAGGAGGTAGGGTCATGAATGCTGTGGTCACACCTGTGCTCTTTCAAAAGGTTAATATAGCAGAAGTGTGGAGGCCAGGCAGGGGGCCACTGCAGAAGTCCAAGCATGATGAAATAAAAACCTAAACTCTCTAGCAGGTGGAAGATAATAATCTGTGGCAGGTTAAGTTATGTTCAGAAACATATCTCTCTCCCCTACCCATTGTGTTTGGGTTTGGCTATGTGTCTTGCTTTGGCCAATAGAACGAGGCAGAAGTGATAGAGTGCCGGTTCTGACCTGAGGCCTTAAGTACTTATGCTTACTGTTAACATTTCTTCCATTGTCATGAGAAGACCATTTCTGGATTGGCCCAGTGGTCCCAGGGGGAGCTGAGAGACACATGGAGCAGGGCCTCACCCAAGCGTAGATCAGTGACCCCCAACCAATCTGCACATATATAATCTAAATACATGCTTAATGCTGAGTGCCACCGAGATTTTTGTGGTTGCTTGTTAGGCAGCAATAGCTGACTGATACAGGATTGATAGAAGAGACATCATCAAGGTAAATAGTACTCGCAAAGTGGTGGGCTGTAAGGGATGAAGTAAAGGGAAGACTCCAAGATGAAACCACGATTCTGGGTCTGGGTGACTGTGCCACCGCTAGAAATAGATCATGTGAGAACAGCTTGTAGAATGTGACCCAGGCCACTTCCACAGTGCAGAATGCCTCCCCACTGCTGATTTCGGCTGAGCATTCTTCTTGATGTGAGAGCCTCAGCATCTCCAGGGAGGGAAGGCCCTTGGAGATGACTTGGTTAACGTCTGTCCCTGTGTGTGATGAAGGTGCTATGTGGAGGGCGGGTAGGGTCTTGGCCTCCTCTGCTGGCCAATCAGGGGTTGGCTCAGAAGAAAAGCCCCTCCACTTCCAGCTTTTTTTTTTTTTGTCTTTTTTTTTTTACTGACCGGTAAGGGATCGCAACCCTCGGTGTTGCGCCCGCACCGCGCTCAGCCAGTGAGCGGGAACCGGTCTCCACATGGGATCCGAACCCTCGGCGGGAG